AAGTTTGCAGAAGAAAAAAGTCAGGTGGAAAGGGAGGACCCAAAAAGAACACACCTACATGGATGGGTGTATCAGAGGTGGATGCGGGGCCTCATTTTGCCCGTTCCCATTGCTATTTCCGGTGTTCTGGCCTGTTTCTTTAGCCAGAAGCACTCCAAATATGCAAAAGAGGAAGCTGTGCAGAATAGCAGATATCGTCATGTATATTCCGCCTTTACATTCTCTTTTGACATACGGAAGAGAACATCCCGGGCGCAAGATTCTCATTTAACCGAACAGCTGATTGTACAAACAGTTTGGCAGCGCAATACTTGTCTGCAAAACCAGACTCTTTTCAACCAACTTTTGTAGAAGAAAATAGATTCCTTCTGTTTTTCTCTCTCCAGATTCCTCCAGAGACACGAAACATAGAAACATAGAAGGATGAAAAATAGAGGCTAGAAATTTAGAGACATGGAGACATGAAACATAGGCATAGGAAAATAGGGACATAAAGACATGATGTATAGAGACATGAAATATAGAAAGACAGAGATATAGAGACAGAAAATATAGAGCCATAGAAATATAGAGACATGAAGTTTAGAGATATAGAAAGGTAGAGACATTAAATATAAAAAAATAGAATAAAGCTGCATTGATGAATAGATCCATAGACACAGAGCAGGTCAGAAGGGGCCTCTCATTCCATCCAGTCTGGCCCCAGACTTCAGCCAGCTCTGCTCTTGACCTTTCTACCATAATTTAGCCCTTCCATGGTTTACAAGCTGTCGGTGGTTATTCTTGAAACTGGGGCATTTTTTTAGCCAAAAGATTGTCTATACAGTTTATTGTTAAATGCCTTTACTGTGAATAAGGTATCTAACAGCAACTGTTAGATGTTTCTGCAAGACTGAAATTTTAAGGCATGATCCTTATGGATACGTTTGAATAAGTTTAGGGGAAGCTCTGGATATGTCCAGGGGAAGCTCTGGATTTGTCTAGGGGAGGTTCAGAGGGACACTGGCCTGTCTTGCCATTTTCAGATACCATGTTTGAATTTGAGCAATGGCATGTATTAAGTCAGCAATGGACTCATCCTTTCTCCACGGGGTTTGTTTGGAGATGGTTTTGATCCGTTGTGTCCCAATGGTTCCTCTGATACAGCCGCATTTTTAAAACATATATCGTCAAATGGTCCATCCAAGGAAACTTTGAGTCCCTTGAATGCCATTTCTGAAATATGTTGCATTTGCCAAATCAACATAGAACTCGGGGAGTAACACAATTCAGGAGATACAGGGGGTTGAGGTAGCGTGTTGTACCCATGCCAAATACAAAACAGTGAAAAGTTGGCTCACAAAGAATCCCTTCAGAGCTACCAGGAAATTTCATTCCGCAGTCAGTGTCAGCGTGGTGAATTCCACTCCTACCAAACCTCTTTTGGGATCTTTGGAGTGCTCTGTTTTGTCATTGCACCAAGTCAGTCTACCAATGGTCTTTTTTTAAGTGAGATCTTTATGCTGTCATCTACCCCCTTCTTCACCTTTCCATGCTTTGCTGACCTTTCCACTGTCAACTTTTATATGGTAAGTGCCTTGAGGCTTTGAGTGGTCTTGCTGGAACCACTCCATCCTCAGGGCAAAAAGGCCATAACCCTTCTTGGTGCTGTACAGACCATCCGACTGACTTAAAAAACTGTCTGGAATATGCTGGGTTCATTCTGGGTGTTGCAGTTCCAGGATTTTAGCAGATAGGAACAGCACTGGGGAAGGGCAAAGGAGATGGACTGGGATACAGAAAGATGGGACAGAACAGGGCATGAGCAAAGACAGAAGGAATCAGAAAGACTCAATGGCACTACAAGGGCTTTTCTACATGAGGCATTCACAGCAGACTCGTCATTCCCTGCTCACAGTTGCTTCTGGGTCACTTAAACGACACTGTGACTCTCCAGTGTCGTTTCTGTCGTTCAATAGCACTTTCAGCAAGTCTTTTTTTCAGAGCAGGGAATGCTGTATTATTCCTGAAAAGTAAAGAAACGGTTTTTTTCATGGGTGTAATCGCACTCTTCCACAGTGCCACCTAGAGGCTACAGAGTAGAAAAGCAGGGATGGACATGCTTTCCTTGTCATGCCCCCATTTCCGTTGTGTGATAAAACCAAACACAGACACAGCAGATTAGCAGCCTCATGTAGAAAAGCCCTGAAATGGCCTGTATATTAAGGTCTTAAGGAGGGGTCCTTTGGGGGTGTCCCAACTCATCAAGGCCATTAAACTGCACACACTTGAACACATCACGAAAACAGAAAAAGCATTTCAACATTTCACAATAGCAGAATATCCGTGAAAACATAAGAAACCAGTATCAGTAGCTACACAGCAGGCCGTATATCAGGATAGTAGGCTATAGAAGTTGTGGCACTATAGCAAACTGTCTGCAGGTAACAGGTCTGAATCTAGGTGTTGGAGCCACCGGTCGCACCCTGTGGCTCAGGGTGCGCTCCACCTGAGCAACGGTCAGACTTCTTGCGGGATGCACGGGCCTTTGCGCTGGCAGCCGGTTTCTCTTTGGCGTCTCGGACAACCCTCTCTTCCAGAAATTCGGATGGTAGTCTGGTGGGGGCCCAGGGGCTCCTGCGTCTGGACACATCGCAGAAGCTCCTCAGACGTGTTATGGCTGACATGGCTTTGATCAGGGACTGCGGGAAAGGAGTTGGGACACAGGTTAAGCATTCGGCTTCCAGCACGGAAGTGGGTCGGGAGACAGCTGTGCCCCGAGGGATGCAGACGGATTGAAGAAAGAGCGGCGGGCATCCAGAAAGAGACAGGGCACCCGCTGGGACGGAAAAAATGGGGAGGGGGTCTGCGGGGAGAGCGGTGTAGTTCACCTGCGCTCTTTGCAACAGCCCCTCCAACTTTCCAGACGGTTTGGAGACCAACAACCAACATTCCCGACCATGTCCCATGCTAGCTGGGGCAGATGGGAGTTGAAGTCCAGCACATGTTGAGGGTGCCAGGTTGGGATAGGTGGACATATTCTACCACCACCAATTATTAGATGCAGTTAGTATTACTATTAGTAGTATTAATATTAGTCAGTGTGCCTAGTGGTTAAAGCACTGGTCCAGAAGCATGGGAAACTATGCCCACTTGGTCCTGAAACTCACTGGGAGACTCTTGGTGTGGCCTACTTCACAGGGCTGTTGCTGCAAGGGTAAAATGGAGCAAGAAGATGCTATAAACGTTCTTGGGTTTCTTGCAAGAAGGAAAAGCAACAACCATCAAGACGAGCCCTAAGTATTCACCTTAAGCCTCAGTCAGCAGGGAAAAAAGGCAGCCAGTGGCATTTCTTCCAGCCCAAGGGCTAAATTCCAGTCCAGAATGCCGTTAGAAGCCATTTTGTGGTGGTGGGAGGGGCCAAGGCAAAAGGGGTGTGTCCACAGGCACAGGGGCGGGGCCAGAGCAAAGGGGTGGCCGCCATGGCAAGGCACCATGGAGGGTGTAATGTCTCCCATCCCGGCTCAGTTTTAGGGCTCTTCCCTCCCCAGCTTGGCCCCCACGCCTCGTGCCGCTGTTACCTTCATCTTGAACCGCCCGTTGAACTCCTGCAGTCTTTGCAAAGTGCCTCTCAGGAAAGTCGTCCCGGTCTCCTTGCCCGTGATCCAGGGGTGCTGAAGCACTTCTTGGATTGTCAGCCTCTCCTTCGGGTCCAAGACAATTAGCTTGCCAATCTGCAAGGACCAGAGACGGGCCACGTTATGGGCTGTGGAGCCATCTGGCGCTTCCCGGGCGGGAGAAGGGGCTTTCTGCCAACCAGCCTGCAGGGGACGGACGGGACTCATTCTGCTGCTGCTGGGAGCCAGCTCAAGCTGGGCTCAGCCGGGGTGGTTCTGGGTGACAGTTACTGCCCGGGAGAGCGCTGAGCTAGGGGGGGCAGCTTTTTCCCCCCTTTCTTCGATTTATATCCTGCCTTTTTCCCCAAAGGGCTCAAGGCAGCTTACATCATTCTCCTCCTCCATCTTATCCCCACAACAACAACCCTGTGAGGTAGGTTGGGCTGAGCGTCTGTGCCTGGCCCAAAGCCACCCAGTTGGCTCCATGGCTGAGTGGGGACTCGAACCCGGATCGCCTGAGTCCCAGTCCCATGCTCTTAAACCACGACACCACACTGGCTTCTGGACCCGAAGAGGACGTGCCTCCCCAGAGAAGGACAGCACCTTGCCTACAACACACCACTCCACCTCCACATGGCAATAAACACCATTTAAACAGAAACGCATCTCTTTCTGGAACCGCCATAATGGCCACCGTTGCCAAGCCGGCAAGGGAATGGTGAGGAGTGAGAAAGGTGAAAGAAGGGCCTGAGGTCCTTTGCTCCCTGAGCGGGAGCTGTGCGTAGCAGCTTCAAAGCTGAGCTCTTCCTTTGGAGGGCCTGCTCTCTGCAGCCCAGTGCTGTGGCAAGCAACCCTTCGAAACGGTGCTCCAGCCAGCCTTCAAACCGAGCATTGCTCTCTGTCCCAAGGCCAGAAGATCTTTCTTTTCTCAGAAGAACCATGTGCCATGTTTTGGGGAGGCTGAGCAGCAGAGTCCCAGCTCAGGTTCCAGGTTCAGTCCTGGGCAAGGGAAGATGCTGATCACACCTGCAAATACCTGCACAACTGTGCTGAGAGAACCTGGGAAGGGCTCACCAGATCCTTGGCACTTTGCGATATGTCGTCCCACCAAGGAGAGGTAAACTCATAATCACACTTGAGGACGTGGGTGAAGATGTACGGATCTCCTCTTGGGTCAAAGAAGGGCTCAAAGCCACACAGCCTGACAAAGGGAGAAAGAGAATCAAAGCAGAGAGAAACACACAGATTGCCCAAGTAACAAAAGTCTCCCATGAGCGGGGAATGCTTAAGGGGGTTTCTGTCCGGGTGTCCCCATGGAGGCCTGCTCTGGGTGGAACTATTTAAAACACAAAACCACACAGCATCTGCCTGCACTCAGTACCAAGGTCTGCTCCATCAGAGAGAAACGAAAGTGATCCGGATTTGGAAACGCTGCGCTGTGAGGAGAGACAGAGAGAACTTGACATGTTCAGCCTTGAGAAGAGGGAGGACATGAGATCCCTCCTTAAGTCCCTCAAAGGCTGCCACACAGAGGAAGGCCAAGGTCTGACTGATGCCAGAGTGTGGGACGTGGATTAATCAAGCTGCAATAAACCAAATTCAGGCTAAATACCAGGAAAAGCTTCTCTCCGTCAGAGCAACGTGACCTGCAACCAGTTGCCTAGGAAAGCTGAGGGCTCTGCCACGCAAGAGATGTTCAAGGGCAGATGGGACAGTCATCTGAGCGGGTGACATAAACAGCTGACCTGCAACAGCAGGGGGCTGGACCAGGTGGGCTTCTCAGCCCCTTCCAACTCCACTCTTCTATGAATACACTTTATCAAGCCCAAACATCCCCTCTCCTCTTAAAGCTGCAGCTGTCCTAGGGCAGAGAGGGGATCCAGAAATCAAGCCCCACAAAGGTGGCTTGAAATGCTCGAGACTTTCAGGGGAGCCCCACTCTGGACTAGACGGCCTCCATGGGTCCTTCCAGCCCTCACATTCTGGGAGTCAAGGAATCATAGAACACTTGAGTTGGAAGGGGCCCTGAAGGCCATCAAGTCCACCCCCTGCTGTTGCAGGACACCAAGTCACACCACCCCACTCAGGTGGCTGTCCAGCCTCTTTCTGAATGCCTCCAGTGTGGGGGAGCCCCCACCTCTCCAGGCAGCTGGTCCCACTGGCCTATCACTCTGACCGTGAGGAAGCTTTTCCTGACGTCCGGCCTGAATCTGGCTTGCTGCAGCTGGACTTGATTGTTCCACACCATACATTCTGTTATCAGTGAGAAGATACCTCGGCCTTCCTCTTTGTGACAGCCTTAAATCCTCTAAATTTGAAGGATTTATAGAGGGATCTCATGTCCCCCCTCAGTCTTCTCTTCTAAGGCTGAACAGGAAGGGCAAGTGCCAAGTTCTCTCAGTCTCTCCTCATAGGGCTTTCTTAGAATCACAGAATAGTGGAGTTGGAAGGGGCCATGAAGGCCATCGGGTCCAACCCCCTGCTGTTGCAGGACACCAAGTCACACCACACCCCATTCAGATGGCTGCCCAGTTTCTTCTTGAATGTCCCCAGTGTGGGGGAGCCCCCACCTCTCCAGGCAGCTGGCCCCACTGTCCTATCGCTCTGACCGTGAGGAAGCTCTTCCTGATATCCAGCCTGAATCTGAGCTGATAGTTCTGCATCCTACACTCTGGTATCAGCAAGAAGAGACCTTGGCCTTCCCCTTTAGGATAGCTTTTGCGGTAGTTTACGAAGGCTATCCCTTCAAATCTTCTCTTCTCAAGGCTGAACAGGAAGGGCAAGTGCCAAGTTCTCTCAGTCTCTCCTCATAGGGCTTTCTTAGAATCACAGAACAGTGGAGTTGGAAGGGGCCATGAAGGCCATCCAGTCCAACCCCCTGCTGTTGCAGGACACCACGTTACACCACCCCACTCAGGAGGCCTTCATGGTTCCTTTCCCATGGAAGTGAACAGGAAAAACTTGTTAGATGTGAGAGCCATGAGTGAGCACTGGTTTGTTTGCATCTTAATGGTTGGGCAACCAACAGGAATTCTAAATTTATTGTTATGGGTAAACCTTTGACTCAGGAGACTTCCTTTTGTCTAAACAATAATACAGGTAGGACTGTATATGGCTGGACCACTACTGGACTTGAAAATGCAAACTGTGTGAGGCAAAATGCTATTTCTCACCTTTCAATAGACCATTTTCCCTACTTTTTTTTGGGGGGGGGGAGTGACCTCAGCACATCAGAAAAAAATACCCTATGTTAACTCACCAAAAGGCAAGGAATATTAATTATTAGTGCTCAAGACTTTAAGGCTATCTTACCAGCTTTCACAGAATGCTAAAAAGCAAATAATTAAAGTTTCTCTGCCTAGAAATCTAGCTAGAAATCCTTCCTTTAATCCTTTCAGAGCAATGAGACAATATAAATATGTGATTTTTCTTCTCTTTCTCACTAGTATAAACATATTCCTTATGCTGCCCCCACCAAAACTTATTATCTTTCTTCTTAGTTTTCTTCCTTTTTTCTGAAATTGCAAATGTTTTCATTTTCTAACATTGCAAGTGATGGTAAAAAGAGTATCACCAAAGCTCAAATGAACAAGACAGAGCAGAGAAGGGAGGTGGGCAGTTTTGTTAATGAATCAGATGTCATGCACCAAACAAAACAAAACAGAACAGAACAGAACAGCTGGAAAGCTCATTTTGGAAATCCATTTCCAGGCAGCTGGATCTCTTCTAGGCAACAAATGGGTAAATAAAAACTTTTAGAATAAAATGTTGTATCGATGACTCTCTGGAGTCAAAACAGGATCAAGGTGGACTCAAAGTAGTGATGTATTAGCAAGCAAAAGATTATGAGGTCACCACAAACATTAAAAGATGCAAGTTGGAAGGGTTGATCACATGGAATTTGAACCCGGGGCCTACCAGCTCATCAAAGTCCCCCTGAAGTTCTCCTTACCCCCTAGATGGTGGAGTCCTAGGCTGGCGCTTTCCCCATGCTTAAGAGTCAGGACTGCTCCCCCTTTCCTTCCAGGGACAACCCACCCAGAGCTGGCAAGATTAGTTCAATGATTGCCAGTTACCAACACTGTCACCTCCATCTTGTATGCATATTTTGTATTTCTATCCCACTTTTTCTCCTCTTCTTGCAAGAAAGCCAGGGCAGCTTAGGGGTTCCTCTCTCATTTATCTTACTTGCAACAGTGTTTTAATACCCTTCACCTCCCGAGTGCCACGTCCTGCTCTTTGCAGACAGTGACTCATGCAGAGATGCGACGACCAGCCTCCTCGGAGGGTAGAGGCTGCCATTGGGCGTTGGAACAGCGCTTGTGTGCAGCAGGCCAGCCTGGAGAGGGAGCATAGCAGAGGCAATGCCGTTCCTGCCTGGAACCTGCCTGGGCCACGCTTCTGAACGCCGCCTCCACGTGCGAGGGGCCTCAGGGGGTTGCAACGAGGGGGCAGCCCTCTCCACTGTGGTCCCCTACGCGGGGAGAGCATCCCAGTTGAGATGCCCCTGTGGCTTCTGCGCCCAGCTCTTCAGGAAAGTCACCTGTCCTCTCAGCCATTTCTTGGCCCCAGATGTCAGAGAACAGAATCTTCATTTCAGGAGTCCCTGTCATACATACAGTATTTTTAATGACTTTTTGGCGAAATAAATTGCTTAAAATACTCTAGATTGAAAATGTACATGGTTTTTATTATTTATGGGTTGTAATTTTGTGAATTGTTGTGAGCTACACATTTTGGGCTATAGAGTGGCATGCAAATGAAATATTTATTATTAGCTGCAATTATTAATCATAATGGAGGGGAAACGCTTTCTTCATAGGGAGTTTTGTTGGGCTGACTACAGTCCTTGAAAGATTTCATTTCGTATGCCCACTCAAGAGAGGCAACTGAATGTCAAAGGAAGAATGGAAGGACTGGATTCACAGGATAAAGCAAAAATTTATCTCTGGATGGTTGCAAGATTGGCCCTGGCATATCCAGTTCACAGACTCCGCTGCCCCTAGCAGACTTTCTCTTTTTATGGTCTCATTTCCTGGCATCAAAGTCCAAATGCGCCTGGTCCCATTCTTGTTCCATGGGGCTACTTCAGCATAAGTGCTGCACGGACTGCAGCCGACGGGCCTCCCCGGTGTGGGCACAAAGGGACCTTCTGCCCGTCGGATCCCACCTGGCAGAGGCTGTGGGGGAGCTTTCCGGCCCTGCTCTCTGCCAAGGGCAGGCCAAGGGGTCCTGCTCCCCACACGCTTGGACTGCTGGGACCCCCAGCACGGTGCACACAATGCAACGGCCACGTTTCGCGCGGGTCCTAATCCCTGCTGCTTCGGCCGGGTGACCGTGGAAGGGTGTCCCCTTCCTGTCAGACTGTCAGTGTCCTCAGAGGGGTGTTGCTCTGCTTCTGGACCCCCAAAAGGGGGGGGGGGGTGCTTTGCTGTAATTCGGCTAGGAAAGCGTGCGGACCTGAAACTAAACCCCGTGCTAAGCTCATGGCCACGCTGGGGCATTTTTAATCAACGGATGTGCTTTGTTGGCTTCGTCCTTTAACTTCTTCCCTGCCGTCACCCATTCCCTGGCTCCCTTTTCTTTTCCCCAGAAAAATCCACGCCTTCCTGAAAAGTATCCCCCATTGCCAATTTCTGAACCTTGCTGGGAAGAAATGATCCAAAATAGCACTGGGAAAAGGGCACGTGTTCATCAGGAAATTTGGGACTGGAAAAGCGGAAAAGGTTTCCTCAGGGCATGTGCAAACAGCAGGACTAAGGACTGTGGGAGTGAGGGGTGTTAAAACTCACCTGTTTTGTGGGCCAACCCACTGTAAAACCCACTGTTTGTGGGCCAAGTCCAGCCTTCCTGGGATGCCCCGGGTGGCATGCCTCCTTTTTGTGGAATGCCAACAGCATAGCAGCTTCCTGGCTTTTCTACGGTTCCCCCTCCCTGATTCCAAAAGGTTGAAATACCTTGGTAATAAAAGCACCAAGTTCAAAGAAACAGATGTTTGGCCCGACCCCCTTTACCTTCCGCCCCGCCCACTGCTAGGATTTGGTCCCGGAGAACCCCTCAAAATGGAATTTGGCCTGCTCCAGCACAACTATTCTTATAGGCTTCATCCCTCTGTTTCGGCATCGTTGTTGTTTCGGCAATTAGCTCAAAAGCAAAAACAAAACAGACTTAAGAAGTCCAGCTTTTCTCTGCCTCCTTAGTTTTACCCCTGTCGGCACTGGAAAGAAAAGGAGCCCTGTAGGAAGTGAGGAGGGGGTCCCCGTGCGCCGTGGGCTGGGATGGACACAGGCCTAACCACGGCTGGTCTTCCAAGTGGGCCGTCCACAAGGCCAAGCTGTGAGGTCACTAGCTCAAAGACAGAAATATAAGGCAGAGGCAGGTGCTTGAGGTGCAAAACTCAAAACCAGATTATCTCCCCAAAGAAAGGTGGCACAAGAGCACAGGACTTAGCTCAAGAGAGAGCAGCTTTCCAGTTTTTTCAAGGATGCATATTTTTAAAAAATCCTAGTAATAAAATAAAATAACATAAAATAAAATAAAAACCAGGACTGGCAAAGTGCCTGTTGGGTGTAAAGGCAGAGAGTCTACAGAAAATCTACTGTCATATACTGAGAATCTTAGAACTAGGAAATGACAATTTAAAGGCAGAGAACAGCAGGGAGCGGAAAGGAACACGAAATGCAATACCCCCAAAGCCCAAGCAAAATATGAATTTCGCCTGCCCCATTTGCAAAACTCTTCGGCAATACTCACAAGATGTACAGGATGACGCCCAGAGACCACATGTCCACTTCAGGGCCGTAGGATGCTCCTTGGATGACCTCAGGTGCTGAAGGTGTTGAAAGAGCAAAACAAAAAGAGAGCTGTGGAGAGCTGACATATGCCTGAGAATGCTCAGTCACCCCCTGCGCCTTCTCCCGGCGCTGTCAAAATCTACTTCTGGCATGAGAAGCGTTTTTGGAGGCTTGGCCATGATCTGCCACACTTTCACACCCGCTGCTCTTTGTGGGAGAGCGCAGCGTGTCGTTGACACTTCTGGAGGCTTGTTCTGAAAGCCAGAGGAGGCAACAGCGAGCAAATGTGGCATATTCTTAATTTGCTGCTTCGTCCGTGGGGGTTCTGAGGCAGGCAGGTGGAGGTAGCGAAAGGAGAGAGGTGCCTTTCTTCCAGGAGGGGTGTGTGTGTGTGTGTGTGTGTGTGTGTGTGTGTGTGGAGTGGGGGAGATGCCCACCAAAAAGATGTCACAGCTACTAGCTTTGGTGTAGACCAGGGCTGCAGAAGTCCAGCCCATTTGGGCTACCCGGGTTTCCGAGATAGTCTTGCTCTTTCTGTGATCCCACCCGGATCTTGGAAAGGATTCCAGGCTTCTGTGGAATTTTCCCTGCCAGGGTAAGCCTCAAGCTGCTGTGAGATGGACACACTCCCCACTGCTTTTGGGGCACTCCGCTGCTTACTCAGCCCCGCCCCCCCCGCCCCACATCCTCTTTGGGCTATCCTAAAGGGGCTGCATTTTCCCGCCTCCCTCTTTCCACCCCTTACCACAGTATCCTGCAGTACCACACACAGTATTCATGACTTGGCCCTTGTCCAAGATCTTAGCTAATCCAAAATCCCCTGGAAGGAAAGAGACGAGCGTTAAGGTGTGTACATGGTCTCCGTGTCCCCCGGCAATCCCTATGCAGCAGGGGTCCTGGATTTCTGCACTGGGGGTTAGACCCATTCCTAAAATGGCCATGTCTTCTGCTCCTAGCCCCCTCTTTTCCCCGACCACAGATGGGTGCTTCTTCCCCTTTATTATGAAATACAAACACAACGAGCTTTAATCATTGTGAAAAATTTCCGGCAATGGGGCAGGAGAGAAACAAAATGAATAAAAACAGCATCAACAAATAATAATAATACGAACTGAGCCTTGGGGGAATAATACATGAGTTTCCACAGGATTCCATGGGCTTATTCTTAGTAATAAAAATAATTATAATAATATAAGCCAGTAATATACTATTAATAATAATCACATGGAAGCCCTTTCCCCACAAGCCACTCATTTGGGGTTTCCTGCCCTTTGTGTTGTTTTTTCTCATTCTGAAAGGCAGAAATGCCCCTTCTGAAGGGCAGCAGCTTTGAGATGAAACAGGCAGGCCCTATTAATGGCCTCACCCCTTTGCCTTTGGCCCCACCCACAAGAGGAACATGGCCCTGGGAGCATCTGCAAAGTGGAATTTGGCCCTCGGAGTGAAAGGGGCCCAGCACCTCTGCTGCACAGCTTTGGGCCTGCCCCCATCTGAACTAGCCCCTCTGAGAAACTGTAGATCTGGGTACCATTTTCAGAGCTTGGCGAGGAATTTCTTTACGTAACATCCAAAAGAGCAAGAAAAATATCTCCAGCCATACCAATTTTCAGAGGAGCATTTGGGGAAAGGTTCGCAAACAGGATATTTTCAGGTTTGAGGTCTCGGTGAACCACTCCGTTTGCATGCAAGTACTGCAAGAAAAATGTAAGATCATTGATTATTATAAATAACACAGTGTCTTATGCAGCTGCTCTTCTATTGTAAAAACTGTCTAGAGAGGCAAGTGGCTACAAGACGTTATGCCAAAGTGCTAATTAGACAAATAAGTATTTAACAGCCCATAAAAATCCCACCCCTTCATGGATCACTGCCTTGCTGTGGTGAAGGGGCTTGTGTAGCACAATGAAGCCATGAGCTTATGCCATGCAGGGGCACCCAAGACGGACGCGTCTTGGCAGAGAGCTCTGACAAAACGTGATCCACTGCAGAAGGAAATGGCAGCCCACGCCAGTCCCCTTGCCATGAAAACCCCACGGACAGCACAAAAGCAGTACTGGGATTCAATCTCCAAAATGACAGAATGATCTCAGTTCAAATCCAAGGCAAACCATTCAGCATCACAGGAGTCCCAGTCTGTGCCCCAATCACTGGTGCTGAAGTGGCTGAATTTCACTGTTTCTGTGAAGGCCTACAACACCTTCTAGAATTAAAACTAAAAAATGATGTCCTTATCATCATGAGGGATTGGAATGCTAAAGTAGGAAGCCAAAAGATAACCAAAATAACAGGCATGTTTGGCCTTGGAGTACAAATTGAATCAGGGCACAGGCTGGTAGAATTTTGTCAAGAGAACATGCTGGTCATAGCAAACACTCTTTTCCAACAACCCAAGAGACGACTCTACACATGGACATCACCAGACGGTCAACACAGAAATCAGACTGACCATGTGCTCTGCAGCCAAAGATGGAGAAGCTCTATACAGTCAGTAAAAACAAGACCAGGAGCTGAATGTGGCTCAGATCATGAGCTTCTGGTTGCAAAATTTAGGCTGAAATTGAAGAAAGTAGGGAAAAGCACTAGGCCACTCAGGTATGACCTAAATCATATTCCTGATGAATACACAGTAGAGGTGACAAATAGATTTAAGGAATTAGATCTGATAGAGTGCCTGAAGAACTATGGACGGAGGTTCACAACATTGTGCAAGAGGCAGCAACTCAAACCATCCCAAAGAAAAAGAAATGCAAGGAAGCAAAATGGCTGTCTGAGGAAGCTTTACAAATAGCTGAGGAAAGAAGGGAAGCGAAAGGCAAGGGAGAAAAGGAAAGACACACCCAATTGAATGCAGAATTCCAGAGAATAGCTAGAAGAGATAAGAATGCCTTCTTAAATGAACAGTGCAAAGAAATAGAAGGAAACAACAGAACAGGGAAAGACAGAGAACTCTTCAAGAAAATTGGAGACATGAAGGGAACGTTTCATGCAAAGATGGGCATGATAAAAGGCCAAAATGGCAGGGACCTAACAGAGGCAGATGAAATTAAGAAAAGGTGGCAAGATTACAGAGAAGAGCTATACAAGAAAGAGCTTAACGTCCCTGAGAACCACGATGGGGTGGTCACTGACCTCAAGCCAGACATCCTGGAAGGTGAAGTCAAATGGGCCTTAGGGAGTCTGAGCAACAACAAAGCTAGTGGAGGTGACAGTATTCCAGCTGAGCTATTAAAAATCCTAAAAGACGATGCAGTAAAAGTGCTACACTCAATATGCCAGCAAATTTGGAAGACTCAATAGTGGCCACAGGATTGGAAAAGGTCCGTTTACATTCCAATCCCAAAGAAGGGCCATGCCAAAGAATGTTCGAACTACCGCACCATTGCACTCATTCCACATGCTAGCAAAGTTATGCTCAAAATCCTACAAGCTGGGCTCCAGCAGTATGTGGACCAAGAACTACCAGAAGTACAGGCAGGGTTTCGAAGAGGGAGAGGAACTAGAGGTCAAATTGCCAACATATGCTGGATCATGGAGAAAGCCAGGGAGTTCCGGAAAAGCATCTGCTTCATTGACTATGCTAAGGTCTTTGATTGTGTGGATCACAGCAAATTGTGGCAAGATCTTAAAGAGAGGGGAATACCAGACCATCTTATTTGTCTCTTGAGAAACCTATACGTGGGTCAAGAAGCAACAGTGAGAACTGGACAAGGAACCACTGATTGGTTCAAAATTGAGAAAGGAGTTTGGCTGTATATTGTTGGCCTGCTATTTAACTTATATGCAGAGCAAATCATGAGAAAGGTGGGCCTAGATGAATTACAAGTTGGAATTAAGATTGCCAGGAGAAATATCCACAACCTCAGATATGCAGATGGTACCACTCTAATGGCAGAAAGTGAAGAGGAACTAAAGAGCCTCTTGATGTGGGTGAAGGAGGAGAGTGCAAAAGTTGGCTTGAAGCTCAACATTAAGAAAACTAAGAGCATGGCCTCTGGTCCTATCACTTCCTGTCAAATAGATGGGGAAGAAGTGGAGAGAGTGACAGATTTTATTTTCCTGGGCTCCAGGATCATCACAGACAGGGACTGCAGCCAAGAAATTAAAAGACGCTTGCTCCTGGGGAGGAAAGCTATGGCAAATCTAGACAGCATACTAAAAAGCAGAGACATCACCCTGCCAACAAAAGTGCGTATAGTCAAGGCAATGGTTTTCCCAGTTGCAATGTATGGCTGTGAAAGCTGGACCACAAGGAAGGCTGAGCACCAAAGGATTGAGGCCTTTGAATTGTGGTGCTGGAGGAGACTCCTGCGAGTCCCTTGGACCGCAAGGTGATCAAACTGGTCAGTCCTAGAGGAGATCAACCCTGACTGCTCTTTAGAAGGCCAGATCCTGAAGATGAAACTCAAACACTTTGGCCACCTAATGAGAAGGAAGGACTCCCTGGAGAAGAGCCTGATGCTGGGGACGATGGAGGGCAAAAGAAGGAGGGGACGCAGAGAATGAGGTGGCTGGGTGGAGTCACTGAAGCAGTCGGCGTGAGCTTGGGTGGACTCCGGGGAATGGTGGAGGGCAGGAAGGCCTGGAGGAATGTTGTCCTTGGGGTTGTGATGGGTCGGACACAACTTTGCAACTAAACAACAAAAATTCCTATGGTTCCTCCACTTTGGTCTACTTCCCACTGACTGTTGTGCCTGGAATTGCTAGTCATGTTTTCTGTACTTTTCACAGAACAACCGGACAACATATTTGCTGGGGAGTTGCTTTCCAGTATTTTCTTTTCAAAGACTCAGGAAACACCAGTGCGGAATGGCCAAATTCTTTTGCCCCTGGCAAAAGCCCCATGTCCCCCTCACTCTTCTTGCTGGCTTGGTGCAGAGTCCAAAGTCAGTTGCTTTTGCTCACTCCTGTGTTGTAAACAAACAACAGATGCCTTGTAAATTGTGTTACTGGCCCAGGGAGCTGCCTGTGCCAATCTTAATTTCACAGGTTGCCGGTTTTAGAGATCGGAGAAGGAAGCTCTAAAAGATAATGACAGTTGGTAAAAAAGGGATAGGAGAAAAGAGTGAGCAAAAACTCACACACACAAGGAGGGAAGGCGGAGGCTGTTCTCATGTGAATGCCGAGAACTGGTGTAATTAAATGCATCTGGAAGAATTTACATAATTCATGCACAAAGTTGCAGAGATGGAACTTTGGAAGGCGTGCAGAATGGAGCTTTCTGCATCTTTGGAAGTCGGAATCCCAGAAGAGAGTCACTTCTATCTGGAGACTGCCTTCTTCCATACTAACCCGCCCGAGTTTTAACATGTTCAGGTGAGTACACTGACCATCGGTCCCACTGTCTTCGGATCCCCACGCAGAGGGAATTTTTATTTTATTTTATTTAAAACATTTCTATTCCGCCCCGTTCGCCGAAGCCTTCTTCGTGGCCGCCCCCAGGACTCCCTGGTGAGTGAGACCTTCAGCAATCGGGCAAACACTGTCCTTTCTATGCAAGCAGGGCCTTGGGGTTAACCCGTGTGCAGCTGAGGAGGCGATTTGCTTTGTTTTAATTGCTCAGGTGCTGACTATTTCTTTTCTCGTTGAGGTTTCCATGTGTTAGCAAGTTTTTCCTGCAATGTTTTAATTTTTCTTCTTTTATGCTTTGCATATGGATTTTGCTTTTGATTTGTGATACAGGTAGGATAAACATGATTGTACATTACAGGTCTAAGTTTTATTTTGTGAGCAGGTCAGAACCCCTTGGCTTATTTATGCATCATATTTATATCTTCTGTCTTTCTACTTACAGGGAGCTCAAATCAGCTTACACTTTCCTCCTCCTCTTTATCTTCACAACAACCCTGTGAGGTAGACTAGGCTTAGAGTCAGGAACATGCTCAAAGGCATCCTGTGAGCTTCTTGGCTGAGTGGGGGATGGAGCTCAGACCCCCCAAGTCACAATTCCACCAGGTCCAAGCACTACAGCTCAACTGGATGACACTAGAAGATAAAGAACGGCTCTGGTCTGTATGGTTTGGAAGGAAGGGTCCATTTTAATTTGGAAGTAAGTGGCTGCCCTAAATAAACCTCCTCCCAGTCTCTGTTGGATCCCTCAGCACCCCTGTGTGGTGGGCTAGCCTGAGAGTCAGTGGCTAGCTGAAACTCCCTGAGCAAGCTTCAAAGAATAATAGAATCACGGAATAGTAGAGTTGGAAGGGGCCAAGAAGGCGACTGGGTCCAACTCCCTGGATTGTAGGATCATAGAATCAAAGAATCATAGAGTCAGAAGGGGCCATGAGGGCGTTGGGTCCAACCCCCGGATCATAGAATCAGAGAACCAGAAAACAGTAGAGTTGGAAGGAGCCATGTAGGCCATCGGGTCCAACCCCCTGGATCATAGGATCATAGAATCAAGGAGTTGGAGAGTTGGAAAGGGCCATGAAGGCCATTGGGTCCACCCCCCAGGATCACAGAATCATCGCGTCATAGAGTCCGTGAATCAGAGAATACTAGAGTTGGAAGGGCCCATGAAGGCGATGGGGTCGGACCCCCTGGATCATAGAATCGCTGAATAGGAAAGCGCAATGGAGGCCATTGGGTCCAACCGCCTGGATAATCTGATCATAGAAATACAGGATAGTGGGTTTGGAAGGGGCCATGGGGCTGTTGGGTCCAAACCCCTGGGTCACAGAATCATACAATATTAGAGATGGAAGGGGCCATGGGGCCATTGGGTTCCAATGCCCTGGATCATAAAACTGTAGAATCAGAGAACCAGAGAATCAGAGAACAGTAGAGTTGGGAGGAGCCACGAAGGTCAATGGTCTCACCGCCCTGGATCATAGAATCTTGGAATAGGAGAGTTGGAAGGGGCCAAGAAAGCCATCAGGGCCAACCTCCTGCATCATACAATCATATAATCGCAGAATAGTAGAGTTGGAAGGGGCCAAGAAGGCAATTGGGTCAGACCTGCTGGATCACAGAATCATGGAAAAGGAGAGTTGGAAAGCACAGTGTAGGCCATTGGGTTCAACTGTCTGGAGAACACGACCATAGAAACACAGAAGAGTAAAATTGGAAGGGGCCACGAAGGCCATCTGCTCCACCCCACTGCTTTTGCAGGACACCAAGTTGCACCATCCTACTCAGAGGGCCAACAGTTTCTTTTTTAATTTCTCTAGTGCGGGAGAGCCCCCACCTCTCCAGGCAACTGGTTCTACTGTCGTATTGCTTTGACAGTAAGGAAGCTTTTCCTGATGTCCGGCCTGAATCTGGGTCGCTGCAATTTTTACTGATTATTCCATGTCCTGCACTCTGGCATATGCAAGAAGAGACCTTGGGCTTCCTCTTTGTGAGAGCCTTTGAGGGACTTAGAGAGGGATACCATGTCCCCCCTCAGTCTTCTCTTTTTAAGGCTGAGGATGCCCAGTTCTCTCTGTCTCACCTCACAGGGCAGTGTTTCCAAAGCCTGGATCATTTTTGTTGCCCTGCCCTGGACCCTTCCTAATTTCCCTGCACCTTCCTTAAATCTTGGTGTCCAGAACTTGGCACAATATTCCAGGTGAGGTCTGAGTAATGAGGAGTATAGGGGAACTAGTACTTCTCATGATTTGGAAGTAATACTTCTGTTCATGAAATAGCATTTCCCCTTTTGGCGGCTGCATTGGATCGTTGGCTCATGTTTAGCCTGGTCTCCACAATTCCTCCTGGGTCTTTTTATTTTTCAGTTCTGTTGAGCCACGTATCCCCCGCCTTGTACCAAAGCTTTTGGTTTCCCTTTCCCAGGTGGAGGACTTGGCCCTTGTCATGATCGAGTCTTATTCTGTTGCTTTGAGCCCAGTGTTCAAGCTTATCATTATCGCCCTGTATCTCCATTCTGTCTTGTAGAGCATTTGCTATTGCACCCAGTTTTTTATCATCTGTGAATCTGATTCTCTTTCCTTGCACTTCCTCATCTAACTCATTGATTAGGATGCTGAAGAGCACCGGGCCCAGGACTGAACGCTATGGCACCCGCTAGCTGCTGTGCTGACTCTCTTGCATGGAACCGCATCTAGTAAATGCACAAACCTCCGCTGAGATGTAGACTGAAGAGCAAGGCTTCAGGGTCAGGTGAAGAAACTCAGAAAAGCGTATGCGTCTCTCACGACTTACAGAGACAGCTTCCAGGATCTGCTTCATCACATGCACTGCATCCTTCTCACTGTAGGTCCCCTTCTCCATAATCCTGTGGAAAACAGGATCATACATACATTTGGAAGGAGAGAAGCCTGCATTTTCCCCTTCCTTGCCTGCGGAGTTTAGCAAGCTGTGTTTTGCCTGCAGATTGAAGTCTCTTTAAAAGCGCCTTGCCAGAATGAAGCTAAGACACACTTCTTTCCGTTGGAGGACAGCCAGGTGCCTCCAGGAAAACCCCAAAACCTGCTTGTTTTGCTTTTTACCCAGAATCTAACTTTTCAATGGAACTCTTCTCCAGACATGGAACTCCACACAGCGTTCCCAACTCCATCTGTTTTTAACATATGGCCAATTCGATGTATATTTTTTCTAAGCCATCCTCACAACCTGTGAATGAGTGGCTAGAAGCAAATCCCTGCAAATCATCATCATCATCTTCATCATCATTTTCATTTTCATTTCAGTACTGCCCCACAGCCGAACCTCTCTGGGCAGTTCACACAACCCATGATAGTGCATAAGATGGCAGGAGAAAATATACATTTGTAGAAAGCCATCCTCTAGGGATTGATCATTCATTCATTCATTCATTCATTCATTCATTCATTCATTACAAGCATTTATATCCTGTCCTTCCACCAAGCACTCAGAATGGCTTACAAAATATAAAAGTACAGTGTAAAACCTCAATTAAACATAAAACAACACATCATGAACTTAAGAAAGAGAAGGAAAAGAATAGAAAATGTGACTGTGAAGGGAGGAAAAAGAAGGAATCCTAAAACATCTAAAACCCTTGATTATTAAGATGGTTGGAGAGAAAGGGCTTCACCTGGCGCCAGAAGGAGTATAATGTCAGCGCCAGGTGGACCTCTCTGGGGAGCGCATTGGAGAGGGATTGATAGTTATATCCGAGCAGCCCGGCTGGATCAAGGCACAGGCCGTTTAGGATGTAACCCTATGGCCACTGGAGAGAGCCTGAATGGCCACGGTCCCTGTGGCTTGAGCAGGGATGCTCGTGATGGCTCCGAGGCCACGCAAGCGACTGCAGAGATGGGCTTTTGGGGAGCGGGGAGGGACATGGCCCTGCACTGCCAGGGCACCCACGATCCGGTGGGGCGCTTCAGCCTCCTTGCCTCGCCCTCTGAAGTCCCAGCCGGCCGAAGTTTCTCCCACAGTGGGAGGAGCACAGAGAAGCGTCAGCTGTCCCAGGTCGTTTGAAGGTTTCTTGGTTCCAGGCAGGCTCCTCAGGTGCCTCCAGACAGGAAGAGGTCCGACAGCTGAATCGTAGGACGTTTTCCTGTCCGGCGTGTTCAGGAGTCCTGTACTTCCTCGCTGAATGTCTGAGCAGTTTGGCACACTGGCAAATGTTTGCAGCCCTCTGACAGGTGACCCTGGGACCACCGGGCTGCTATCCATGGCTGCTTTGGTGTTGCGTGTTATTGGCGCCATACAGAGCGCTGCCGGATGTCAAACCTAATTTGAGAACAAGTTCAGCATTCGCTCAACACTGGAAAGGTGAAGAACCACCCACCGATCAACTGATTCTAAAAAAGACCTTGGACTGTGCAGAAATGGATAAACAGACTTTATCATTGAAGGAGAAGGAAGATACTGACTTCTATCAAACTTGGCACTCTTTTTTTATTGGCTAGAGAAAAGGGGCTTTGCATAGATTTAAATATGAGTTTAACTTATCATAAATGGAAAAAGAAGGGTGTGGGGGCTGACCCAGTGGGCTCGATGTTTTTGATGATGGATGTTGTTTGCAGTTTTCTTTTTGTTTTTTAGGATTATGATTTCTCAAATAAAACTTATTTTTTTTAAAGGATCAAGTTCAGCACCACGGACAAGTCCTATAAAACTCAAAAGGAAGGATGGGAGGGAAAGCAGAATTCATTGGATTTATTGGAATATCCATTTTGTTTTGGGGAGCATGGAGCAATGCATCTTCGGGAACTTAAAGAGGCAGAAAGGGAATCTGGCATCGTCATTTAAGACCGAGGGCCATGCAACACATCCCGCAACACACCTTTTCCTTTCTGCGTCTCTGGCACAAATTGTTTCCTGCTCTCCTTTGCTCATTTGTCAACTTTGATTATAAACCCGCCAATTAAACTGAGACCTCTCGCTGCTTACCTGTCAAAGAGCTCGCCACCCGTCACACGTTCCAAGATGAGGACAATCTCCGAAGGGGTTTCAATGACCTCTTTGAGTTTGATCTTTAAAGAAGGGGGAAGGCAAGGAGAGAAGAATATATACATTGGGACAAGCTGATCCATAAATGAGGAAAACAGAGAGATACAGAAATTTCCAACACTGCTGTGGTGGCAGATGTAACTTCCAGGGGGGTCATTGTGACATTGTGCAGGTTTACAAAGAACACCAATGCATGATATAAAATTCAGTGTATTACGATCACCAGGGTAGAGCGTCTACGCAGAGAAACCTTCCTTCTGAATGCATTGCTTCATCTTATAAAACAAGCCAAGCTTTAATAACCAAAGATCTCCAGCCAATTTAGAAATAGCAAATGCTCACTTTTCAGGGAAAGTGCTGCCCATCTTGCAAAGAAGAGCTACCCCTGAAACTGCTAGCAATAAGGGAGAATTTCATCAAAGAAAAGAAAAGAAAAGAAAAGAAAAGAAAAGAAAAGAAAAGAAAAGAAAAGATGCCTCTGTCCAGTGGCTAATGCTTTCCCTCATTCTTTGGGTCACAGGTCAGTTTGCATTTTTACTGGACCTTTTAGGGGCCAAACACAAAGAAACAAAGAGAAACGGGAAGGCTGCTAGTTTTTTAATGCTATTAAAAGATTTTGAATATCCACAGGCTACCCCATTGCCAAAAACTTATCAAGTTAACATACATCAACAGTGTAAAATGGGAAACTTGAATGGATGTTCTAGGCACACCTTGAGCAAAAAAGAAAAAAACATCGTGGGAATTGTCATGAACCAAAGCCCCCTTTTTCAAGCTGACAAAAGCCACAGACTGTTTTCCTTGCAAAATGTTCTTTGTTTCCCAGGTTCACCCCCCCCCCCTGCACTTTTGAAGATAGGGACAAGATTAGCTCTTCTCCAGGTTTGTGGCACTTCTCCTGTTTTCCAAGATTTATCGAAGATGATAGCCAGTGGCACTGAGAGTTCCTCCCACCAATTTTGGTCTCTTTTCCCCTTAAAGGTGTGTTGCCATGGCACCTCTGCTCCCACCAATTTTGGTCTCTTTTCCCCTTAAAGGTGTGTTGCCATGGCACCTTGCTTATTTTTCTGAGTTTGTTAAAGCTGGCCTTTCAACAGAAGGATGCGTGTTTAGCTCCAGTTACCCTTTGTCTCCATTATGATGGAGAATTCAAGTATTGCATGGGCACCTTCCCCGAGTTCCCGTGGTTGTTATTTTGTCCACCTGTTAGTATTAAATTGAGGGCTGCTGATCCTCTCGCAGCTTCCTCTACTTTCTGCTGGAGAAAGTTGTCAGCAACAAGTGTCAGGAATCTCTTGGAGGGGCCTGCTTGGCAGAATCTGTCTCCCAGCATAACATGATGACTGCATTGTTCTATGTGGAAATGCTGGCAATTTGTTGTTGTTGTTTAGAAGGTTGCAGCCTTCTAAAACATCTATTTTGTAAACATCTATTACTGTCCTTTTTATGAGGACAGTAATAGATGTGAATAGCTATGTTTTTCTTACTTTCTGCTCCCTTTAAATTAAGCCAGATACTTTCCATGGGGCTTCTAAATTCCTCTTCTTGTATTTCTGTGCAGATATAGCTCTTACAACTCCACCCCCCTTTTCGTCCTTTGTATTTTTATTAAACAGGTTGTATACATCAAGACATCAAGAATTCCAGTCATGTGAGTCATCCCATTGAGCTTCCATTATTGCTATAAGATCGTAATTGTCCTCGTGTATTATGAGCTCAGCTCCATGTTGTTTGTTTCCCATATGCTGGGCACTGGTACAGAGACATCGAAGCTCATTCTTGCTGTGCCCTGGTTTTCTTTCTTTCTTTTTTGGGAAACTGGTACTGGGCCCTGCTTGGGGTTTTCTTTCTGCTGAATTATATCAGTCTTTGCCAGGTGATGGTCTGCCGTGCCGCACATCTCCCTCCCTTATAGGTTTTAGTCTAAAGCTCCTCTGATGAACTTTTTCATGTGGTGGCCAAACACCCACTTCCGGTTCTCTGTGAGGTACGGCCCTTCATCTGCCAGTGGTCTGTCTTCCAGGAAACTGAGCTTGTGGACCCAGAACTACCATCATCGCCAGTAATTCAGTTGAAGGACTTTTCTTTCCAAAACAGTTCTTCTTCCGCATTCTGCTAGGCTTGAGGAGAAGACTATCTGGGCCCCAATGTTTTTGATTTTATTTATTTAAAACATTTCTATGTCGCCCCATTCGCCGACGCCTCGGGGCGGCTCCCTAGAGCTTTCAAAGTCTGAAGTTATTTCAGAAAAACTTCTCCTGGCAGAGTTGTTAGTTCCCGCATGGAAGAGAAGGAAGGGGTGTTTGTCAGTGGGTCGTACGAGTTGTGTAAACTTTCTGGTTATATCTTTAATCTTGGCGCCAGGGAGATAGCATATTTGGCGATTCTCTGGGTCAGCACGACATACATATTTTTCCATCCCACACAAGAGGGAATCTCCCACAACTAGCACTCCTCCCCCTTTTTGCAAATTTGCTATCCTTTTCCTTGCTTGATCGGCCTTTTGTCTATCTTTCAGAGTTACCCAGTGCTGCGCAGTTCATTCACAGTAGGAAGACAAAGACAAAAATCATCATCTCTCCAGCAAAGACTTCCCCCTTGGATGTTTGACCACAGTCTTCCTTGAGGTGGAGCCCTGGTGGCTGATGGGAGCTGTAGTACAACCCATGTAGAGGGTGTGGATTACTGCTGTACAGCAGTGCAACAGATTAATTTCTCAGAGTGGGGAGGGAAAATATTTGGAGATGCACTTATTTTTTCTTTCTTTTATGCAGAAGGCCACATCATTTCTGAAGATTTCAGTGACACTGTGGATTTCATGCCACTTTAATCACGGCTGCAGCAGCCCAGGCGATGGGCTGCAAGACCTTCTGCGGTGTAAGCAACACTGCAAGGCAGCATGATCTTTTTCTTATTAACTTCAAAAGTTCACAATCCTATTTTCACTTCCTATCAGCCCGGTGCTAGCAGGGGAGGGCGCAGAGGGAAGTCGCAAAGATAAATAATGACATGAAAATTATTCCCCATTTCCTCCTCCTCCTTTTAAATGGAATTTTGGAGGCAACAAAGAAAGGGGGAGCTGGGGGTGGGGTGGGGGAATCCTGATTTGATTTGATTTAAAACCCCAAAACTATTGCTTGCTGGGGAATGAAACTGGGTCAGGAACAGCCTGGAATAGAAGCTTTCCTCGTGGATTTTCACCCGCTTTTCTGGTTACACCTCCACGGTGAGAGAACCTGGTCCCACAAGGAGCTTTGTGTCTCTCCTATCATTCCACCAATGTTTCTTTTAATAAAACAGCTGCCTCCCAGCAGCAAGGCCAAGAGAAACCAGAGAGCCGATGAGTTCTAAATCGGAGGAGCGTGCTGGAGGGGCCGTGAAAACCAGAGCCATGGGGGTTCAGAATTGGAGGCGACCTCGGACATCATCTACCCCCCACCCTGCCTGAAGGCTGCTCTGCAGGGCACTTTCCCCAATACCTTCTTGTATGCATTCCAAGGCAGCCCCTGCCCCACTGCCGAGCAGCTCTGCCTCTTGCAATTTTCCTTCTGAGCCTCAGCTGAAACCGATCCCCTGCCTCCTCCATGCTCTGTTCTTCTTCTTGCCCCCTGAAGCAATCAAGAACACACCTGCTCTAACTTTTGCACAACAGCCCTTCGGAGAGTTAGGAGCCACGAGTGTGTCTCCCCTCCACTTCCACATCCACATCTCTTTCACCCACTTCCACACACGGAGCGCAGTTCCAAGGGACAACGCAAGCCACCTAATTCGCCCAGGGCCGAATCCAGCACAAACCGAGCTGTGCTGAAGCTCATGGGAGCCTCTGCAGTTGAGCAGCCATGTGGCGCTCCAGGAGAAATTATCTCTAGTGACGGGTTGGCGGCAACAGCAGGTGTGTGAGAGAACTCTATCAAGGATTCCAGTAAGTTCGGGATGGTATGGACTGTATGAATTTCACCCCCTGCATTGCTTGAACCACACCAGTTTTAGTAGTCGATGAATGCAAAGCAATGCTGTGGTCCCAAACACGCAGGGGTCAGGGTTCTAGAAAGAGGAAGGTCAGGGGAACTTAGGGCACAGCCGCCCCCCCAGTCCTGTCCCCTGGTTTCCTTTGCCACGTGGCTTGCAGAGCTTAGCAGGAGACACAGGTTTCCCTCTCCAAAGCATAGCTAGTGGACGGAAGAGCTTTATGTCGCAATATTCAGATGTATCCAGGTAGGGCCTTTAATTTCGGCCTCATCCATCACTACTCGGTGGCCCCCAAGAGCTTCTAGGAAATCAGCTTTAGCCCCCAGAATGAAATAAATTAAAGGGCCAAAGGGGCAGTTGTCTGATCCAGATGAGGATCCGGAAGTCTCCCTGTGACGAAGTCTATTCCACTCCAAGGACTTTGGGCACATCTTTTCCAGCCTTTCGCCACCAAGCCAAGGGTCAGTGACAACAGAAACTCCCCCCTTAAATACTCCACAATTGCCCTTACTCACAATATTTGGGTGTGAGAGCTTCAGCAAGACACTGACTTCGCTTTTCACGGTTTTCTGGTTGACCTGAAAATGCAATTAAAAATCTTGTGATTTCATGCCACTTGTGTCAACCCCATTACTTTGGCCTTCCAAGGGAGGTGGTGGAGGCCCCATCAGTGAGGGTGTTGGCCAACCACATGTTGCGGATTGCATGAGTAGACCCAGCTGGAGCCAGGGTCAGACTAGATGACCCAGGAGACCCCTTCTGACTCACTCGGTTTCTAAGTTTCTGTGTTTTTCAGCAGCAGAAAGGTGTGTGTGCCCCTTCTGCAAATCTGGCATCCAGATCAGTTTTTGAAATAAGGTCTGACACAATGGCTGTCTCCCAGGATTGAGAAAGGACCCTACTGTTGCTGCATCTAAGAATTGCGTTTGCCGCTTTTTGCATCCACATCACCCCACTGCCTCCTTCACTTACCGAATCCACCTGGTAATCCCTCAAGTAGAGGAACTGGATTTGCACTCACCGTTTTCTTCAGTACCTTGGCAGCATACTTGATGTGCGTCTTTTTATCTTCGCAGTCATACACCACCGAAGTGGCACCTCTAGATCAAAGAAGAGTGGTGGAGCTCTGTCTCAGATTGAGGCTTCAATAGCACTGTTTAACAGTCATTTCATCAAACAATGAATCAATCAAAACAGACAGGATGAGGATCACGTAATTCGGGACCACAGTGATGGTACAGGGAGTCTGTGCATCTTCGCCCTGACAAGGACTGGCTCAGGAGGAAGGGGGGACAATCCCTTTGCACAAATCTTTCCCAGAAGTGGAAAATCGCTCTGCTGTTGTTGTTGTTGAGGCCCCATTGGTGCGGGTGTTCAAGGACAGGCTGGACATGCACCTGGTGGGCATGTCGTGAGCGGAGCCGGTTGGAGCTGAGGGTCAGACTAGATGGCCCGGGAGGCCCCTTCTGACTCGCTCTGTTTCTATGTTTCTATGGATCTGTCTGACTTGGGAAAAGTCAGTCCACTGCAGAATCTACATTAAGATCTGAAGTTGTTTAAATCTGTGGCAGGTTTCTCCCACGTGGCTTGGGTGGCCTGAAACCTGGTGGACCTCCATGCTGGTCAGGAGGATATATTTTCCCTGTGTTTTCCCCAAGAGCACTTCTCCCTTGCCTTTGCTAAAACCATTTTAATTAAAATCAGAATGCTAAAGAGCTTTCAAACTTTAAGCAGCTTGGAAAGACCAAAAGACACCACGCTGCTCTGGCCTGGACCCCCCACTCCGCCCTGCACTCCCCCAGCCTGCCTTCCCTCCTGTGCTGCAGAGGAAATCAGCAAAGTATGTTTTGATCGCATCCTGATCCATCTGGGCTGCTGGGAGGAAGCCTCCCCTGGATGGAGTCATAGGAAATGCAGTTTGCAGGACACATCCCTCGAGTTGTGCTGGTTCCTCGACTTCATGCAGCTTGTGGTTCTGGGGCGCATCTGTGCATCCGAAGCCACAGAGTGAGGGGATGTGTATCTGTCTGAGCGGGGAGCGAGTTCGAGTTTAGGGAGTGGGTTCAGCCTCGCCAGTGCGGCCCACAGCATGCTTGCCCTGAGCACCAGTGCAAAGGAGATGCTTCCCTGGAGGAAATAAGACTAACAAAGCTTGCCCTGTTTTCCTAACGAAGCTTGCCCTTTGTTTCCTGCCCTTTTGTTTCCTTGTGCTACCCTGTCCTCTTTGGTACCCCACTCAAACGCCCGTTCCCGGATCCCAGAATCGTGGCAGGCACAGCGGTACCCTTACCACACAAGCACGAAGGAGATGCAACTCCAGTTTTCGTCTTTCAGCGCACTTCTGAGTGTGTTCTGTGCCCGTTCTGTAGGGACTGTGGTGGGTCATTTTGCTGCTTTACGGGCAAAGCATTACTGCAAAAGTTATTCTGCTTCTCATAAGTTCTTCTTGCTTCCTTCCCCTCTTTTCTGATCCTTGGCCAGAGATAACAACAGGAATGCTCTTGTTGGCCAGCTGTGGCCACCCGGCTTCCACCACAGTGGATGAAGGCAAGGGTCCAGCAGGAAGGGAGGTGTGGGAGCAGGTCTCGCAGGATGTTGGTGGCCACTCCCTTTTATGACCCCAGCTCGGACCTCACAGGGCACCCCCGAAGAGGAGGAAGCAGCACACCCCGTCCCCAGGTTCCGGGCCTGAAAACAGCTCCCAGAGGCTTGCCTATGGAGTACCCGGGGTGACTTTCAGCAACTACATTCAGCTGTGGCAGATGGGGAAGTGAGTCATGGGAATGATGCTATTTCAGGACCCACAAGCTCCCCCCCCCCCCAGTATTCTCTGTGCACAGAATAAGAATTATTCTGTGCATCAGCAATAGCAGCCATGAGGTGGGGGAGGCTCCTCCCCGAATTCTGGTCCCTGAAGGCTAACGAGGGCCCATTATTATTTCTGATCTTTGTCCAGAGATAACACAGAACATCTTTCCCCCAAGTTCCTTATTCTTGAATGTGGAGCTCATGCAGAGAATACTGAGGTGTGTGTGTGGGGGGGGGGAGTGGTCCCGAAAGAGCACTGTCCCACAGCTCGCTTCCCCACCCAGCACAGCCGAACCGAATTGGCCACAGTCCTCCCGGCCACTGCACAGGAGGGCTTCTGGGAGCTGCTTTCCTGTTTTGCCGTTGCTACTGGCGTAGGAGTCCTCAAAGAACAAAAGGGTTGGCGACTCTCCTTAACGACTCATCCCCTGGCAACAGCCAACCCCAAGATTTCTACAGGACTCTGCATGAGAGCGCATCCACTCCACGTGCGCGTTCTCTTCCTAGGAATACTCCTGCTTTCCACATTGTTCGCTCATTAGCGGTAGCGGCAAGTAGATCAGTGAGCAAAATTAGACCTATGCGCTCGTACTTCACCCCACTCTCCGGCCCTCTTCGGTTTGTTCCTTGCACACGAGCAGAAGCCCATTCTCAAAACAAGCGCCTTGGCTGCTACTTCGGGCTGGCAATTAAACTGTGGGATGACATGTGCGTCAAAGGGAGTGAGGAGTTCAGGCTGCAGCGCTGGAAACCCATCTCCCTCGCCATCGCAGCACGCTTCCTTGCTCACTTTTCGCTCTGCTCCAGAGGATGGCAGAGGCGAGGCGCAAAACCAGGAGCCGTTCCAGCCAACTTTCTCGCTGGTGGCGCTCGGGCTGTCAAGTGAGCATGTGGTAGCCGTGCGGAGGAAGAGGAGTGAGAGTGGCTAGCCGCCACCACGGGGGGTGAGAAGACTCCTCGAACAAGGAGCCCCATCTGGGGGCAGCTTGTCTGAGCCCCTGCAAAACCCGGAGCTGCTTCTGCAAATCGGATGCTCAGATTTCTACACCACCTCACTCTTCAGCCAAATTTGCCTCAAGCACGCGGCTCGAGGGAAGACTAAGAGCATCGCCAGGTGAGGAGATAGCTGGGACCTGTTGCTTTGCCCCTTTGCCATTTCCAGCTAAGCATCTCTTTGCCAAGAGAATGTTTTAACTCAGCCGTCATATTCTTTGCAGGCACATAAGAGAGAAGGTGCACTTTGATGCATTGAGATGGCTTGGATGCGCTTTCCCCCCTGCTTGTGCTAATTCAAATACGTTCTACTAAGTGTTCATTCACATCCACTCGTGTGTATCTGTGCCGATGTGCAATCGCACAGGTGAGAATTAGTGCAAAGCCAAAGAAAACAGCCCACATGCCTTTGGGATATACACAACACAGAAAAAACAGTCTACCGAAGTCTGATTCATAAGAAAGTCTTGATTCATGGACATGCAAGCACATTTGACTCTGCTGTGGATTGCTCCATAGCTCAAATCAGGACATTTGCCTTGAACGAGACCTGGGCATGTTTGGCCAGCTAGAGCAATTCTTTCAGAATGATCCAAGATGTTCCCAGGAAGCTGCTGGCTCAGGGGCTCTTTTGCCCAATTGGTTATTTTGCTTCTGAGTCAACTTCATGGGCTACCCCATTTGAAGCATGTTATGAAAGCCCAGCTTTGGGGCATCCCTGTGACTGGGAATATTTGTGCTTGGTGTGTGACTCCTCACCGCAGAGCTTTGGTGATGGAAATAGGAACGGGCATGCAAAAGACTCTTATTCCTGCTGTCTGAATGGACACACTTATCCCATGCAAACCTCCAAACTCAGACTCAAAATCTGGCAAAATTTTTGCAAATTCTCAAAAGTGTATTTATGTACATTTTATTTCCAATCCTCACATGTGCAAATCCCCCTCCGCAGCCTGAATCAGCCCTGTTTTAGCCTGTGGAAGAGATTTGCACAGACTTGCACAAGCTGATTTGCTCCTTTTTAAATTGCAGCTCAGTTTGTGCAACTTGTTGGGCTAAGCGAAAAGAAAAAAGAAAAAAAGGTGTTTACACCAGGGATGTGGGGGTGTCAAGTTTTGGTGTGCTGAGAGATGGGTGCTATTCTCCTTGGGGAGTGATAACACCAATAACTCACTTCAATAATGGTTCAGTAATAATAATAATAGCAGAAATGACAGTTTGCTAAGTGTAAATACACACTGTTCAGGAGAACACTTTAAGCACTGACAAGGTGAGCCCAAAGTTTGTAATCAGAAATTTGGTGGCTTAAGAATTAGGAATTTCCCCCACCCCCAAAAAAGACAGAACCCCAGGTAGTTTGGTCTGCCTGAGGCTATCTTTCCTTAGCTCTCTCCCTCCAAAAGAGAAAACCTCACATTTTACTTGAAAGCACATAAAAGCCAATCAAACAGAAGCAAATTTTAGGGGAATAACACCCTAAAATTTGGGTGTGCTGAGCTCCTTTCCTCTTTTGCTTCAGCCCCAATTCTCCCCCCACCTGTTTACCTGTGTCCCATCTCTTTCCCCTTCTTAGGTTTTCTCCTGAGTTGAATATGGAATTGTAAGGTCTTTGGGGCAGAAACTACCCTTCATTCTTTTAAAGAGCAAAAAAACCAACAACTCCCACAAAGACATTCAAAATGGACCTTCCTACGTACCTTCCCAGTTCTTTTCCAACATAGTAGGATTCCTTCAGGGCTGAATGCCTCTGGGAACCCTCTACCCAATATTCGATCCCGGGAGATTTCGTGCTGCACATCTCTGGGGCAGAGCCTTGGTTGTGTGCCAGCGGAAAGGCAGTTGTGTACTGGCTCCCTCTTCTCCTTGCCTTATAACTGCACGGTTGGGCAGGGGGGGGCCGGGGGGGGGGGGGAGGGGACTGGGGGGAGGAAACTGCTCTCCAGGATGAGTCAATCGTTCAGGTGCACCTCCCCGCAGCTCTGCCTCTCCAGCTGAGGGACATGGGTCCTTGTGGCCTCGAGCTCTCAGATGCCTCCCGGCTGAAAAATACTCTGCTTTTGTTTAATTCTCATGATTTTTCTCCGGGCTCAGGGCCAAGGAGCGCTCTGTCTCTCCTCAGGGGGGCTTGCCCTCTGCTGAGGTGCTGGGGCAGCCATCAATGTCCCCAGAAGATTGCTCCATCTTTTCTTAGCCCTCAGGGTGGCCAATTTGGAAAACCAACCCTGCCAGGTATGATGGGACAAGGTTTACCACAAGCTGCCATAGAAAATGCCCCCCCCCTGCACTTTCTCCTTAGAGCTTGACCGACATGCTCGGGGAAGACCCTCATGGCAAAGGACATTCCCTTCCCTCAGCTTGAAACTGGGGTCCAGCACCAAGCAGGATTTTGGTGAGATGCCAAAGACCAGCTCCCCTCTGGGACCTTGGCCTTGCTTGCTTGAACCTAACGAGAGTGCCAAAGCAAACGGTTGGGAAGTGACTGAGCTGGTGCTTCAGTGTCTCCGCTTCCAGCCCAGGGGAGCTGAGATCAAAGAAACATAGAAACAGAGCAAGTCAGAAGGGGCCTCCTGGGCCATCTAGTCTGACCCCCAGCTCCAGCCAGCTCCTCTCACGACATGCCTGCCATGTGCATGTCCAGCCTATCTTTGAACACCCGCACCGATGGGGCCTCAACGACCTCTCACGAAAGCCCCTTCCACACCCTCGGGATCCTGACTGTCAGGAAGTGCTTCCTGGCATCCAAATTGAATCTTGGTTCCCTGAGCTTGGCTCTGTTGGAGCGCGTCCTGCCTTCCTCTGCAGGGGAGAACAGGTCTCTGCCCACCTCCGTGTGACACCCCCTCACACACCTGCATGTCGCCAACAGATCCCCTCAGAGTCTCCTCTTCTCCAGGCTGAAGAGGCCCAGTTCCCTCAGTCTCGCCTCATATGGCATCCCCTGCAAACGGGCCACCAACCTCATGGCCCTTCGCTGCACTGACTCTAACCTGGCTATATCCTTCCTGTAATGAGGGGCCCAAAACTGAACACAATACTCCAGTTGCGGGCGCACCAGAGTCATATAGAGTGGTAGCAACACCTCTCTCGATCTAGAAGCCACACTTCTGGCTATGCAACCAAGGGTGGCGTTCGCCCTCTTGACCACTGTGTCACACTGCTGGCTCATGTTCAGCCTGCAGCCAACCAGCACTCCGAGGTCCCTTTCACAAGTGCTGCTCTCCAGCCTCTTGTCCCCTAACCTGTACTTACAACACCCATTCCTGTGCCCCAAGTGCAAGGCCTTGCACTTGTCCACATTGAACGCCACCCTGTTCTCTCCTGCCCAACAGGATCCCCCTAGAAACATTTCCCATCTCAAAGTGCAGCCCTCCCCGGAGCGACCCTGTGCCCTTGAGGGATGCTTGGATCACTTGGACTGCCCCTCCCGAGAGAAGAGGAGACCCGCGACCTCTGTTTGGGAAGGGGCGACTTCTGCATGGCCTTCCACGCACAGCTCGCTCCTGCCATCTCCTGGACCTTGTCCCAACTTCAGCCTACCCCACGGAGCGGACCCCTCATGGGAGCCAGGCAGTGCGGCACCCCAGAGCCACCAAAGGCAACCTGCCGGCTCAGGTGGGAATTGGCCGCCCACCTATTCTTTGGCCACATTTTGCATCCCACCTTCCCTCTGAGGAGCCGAAGGGGCAGGCGATCTTGCTCCCCGTTTTCTCCTCACAACAGCCCTGTGAGGGAGGCTGGGGTGAGCACCAGTGACCGGCCCCAGGCAGCCAGTGAGGCTCATGCGCAGAATGGATTTGCACCCAGGCCTCCTGAGCTGCGGGCACCAGCAGCATAAACTTTGAGGGCACTGTCCAGGGTGCTGAACTGCCCCTCACAGAAGCACACAGAAGGGCAGAACAGTGCAGCTGGAAGGGACCATGAAGGCCATTGAGTCCACCCCCCCGCCCCCCGCTGCTGTTCAGGACACCATGTCGCACTAGCCCACTCAGAAGGCTGCCCAGTTTCTCCTTGAATGTCTCCGGTGTGGAAGAGTCCCCCTCCTCTCCAGGCAGCCGGTCCCACTGTCCTATCGCTCTGACAGTGAGGAAGATTTTCCTGAAGTCCAGCCTGAATCTGGGTTGTCGCAACTTGACTTGACAGTGGATTGAGCTGCCTGGAGAGGTGGCATGCTCTCCCACATTAGAGACATTCAAGGCAAAATGTCTCAGCCACCTGAGTGGGATGTTGTAAACAGATTACCTGCAACAGGTGGATTTGGTTGTCTTCCAGCTTTACTGTTTCTTCGATCCCAGAAAGCACAAACACCCTCTCGTCTTACAGCTGCAGCTGTCCAAGGCCCATGTGAGCAGGAAGTAGTGCAGAGAGGAGATCTGGAAATCAAGCCCCACGAAGGTGGCTTGAAATGCTCGAGACCTGTCAGGGGAGCCCCACTCTGGACCAGACGGCCTCCATGGCTCTTTCCAGCCCCCACATTCTGGGAGTCAAGGAAGGGTTGATCACATGGAATTCGAACCCGGGGCCCACCAGCTCATCAAGGTTCCCCTGAAGTTCTCCTTACCCCCTAGATGGTGGAGGTTGGCGCTTTCCCCATGCTTACGAGTCAGGACTGCTCCCCCTTTCCTTCCAGGGACAACCCACCCAGAGCTGGCAAGATTAGTTCAATGATTGCCAGTAACCAACCCGGTCACCTCCATCTTGTATGCATATTTTGTATTTCTATCCCACTTTTTCTCCTCTTCTTGCAAGAAAGCCAGGGCAGCTTAGGAGTTCCTCTTCCTCCCTCATCGATCTCGATTTCCCTGCTGCCCAGTAGCCAAAATGTTCTGTACACTTTGCAACAGGCCCATAAACATGCCATCTTTTTAACAATATCAAATACAGAGAATGGTAAAATCTGGTTTTTAAGGGGTGAACTGCTAAAAGGCTATTTGGTGCAGAATCATCTAGCTGACCCCCCACACCCACCCCCAGATCAGGCCATCACATAATGGGGGACACTCCCAAGGGCCCACCACCCAGGGCAGCCTCAACCTGGTGCCGCAGTGAGCAGGACGTTGGCAGCGACTTTGGTGAGGGTCCTCCGCCGGGGAGGGGGCACCGGGAGGGAGCATGACCGAGTCAAAGCCTCCCTTGACTCGAGTTGGCCTGGACTGGCCACATGGCTCCTGAGGGCTCCTTCCACATGTGGGGGGCCTTGGAGGGTTGCAATTGGGGGTCTGCCATTTCAATTATAGACCCATAGTCTGGAACAACATCCCAAATGAGATGCACCTGTGCCTCTCTTCAGTACCGGACTGAGGTCAGCCTGACCTCCCAAACATTTCCTGGCATCACATATCTTAGAAGAGAATCGTCATTTCAGCCAGTCCTGTTGAGCATCCAGTATCTTAATAAGTTCTGGGCAAAATAAATTGATGGGAATTCTTTACATTGAAAGTAAAAATAGTTTTTCATTGTCCTGCTTTTGGGTTGCAATTCCATGGATTGTTGGGAGCCACTGCACAAGTTGGGCCGACATCTGGCAGGGAAATGCGATACTTCTTCTTAGCTGTAATTATTAATCACAATAGTGAGGAAGTTTTGTTGTTCTGACCACATTTCTGGAAGAATTTGATTTCTTTTGCCCATGCAAGGGACTCAATTGAATGTCAGAGGAAGAATGGAAGGACTGGATTCACAGGATAAAGCAAAAATTTATCTCTGGATGGTTGCAAGATTGGCCCTGGCATATCCAGTTCACAGATTCCACTGCCCCTAGCAGACTTTCTCTTTTTATGGTCTCATTTCCTGGCATCAAAGTCCCAAATGCGCCCGGTTCCATTCCCGTTCCATGGGGCTACTTCAGCATAAGTGCTGCACGGACTGCAGCCGACGGGCCTCCCTGGTGTGGGCACAAAGGGACCTTCTGCCCGTCAGATCCCACCTGGCAGAAGTTGTGGGGGAGCTTTCCGGCCCTGCTCTCTGCCAAGGGCAGGCCAAGGGGTCCTGCTCCCCACACGCTTGGACTGCTGGGACCCCCAGCACAGTGCACACAATGCAACGGCCACGTTTTGCGCGGGTCCTAATCCCTGCTGCTCCGGTCGGGTGACCGTGGAAGGGTGTCCCCTTCCCGTCAGACTGTCAGTGTCCTCAGAGGGGTGTTGCTCTGCTTCTGGACCCCCAGAATGGGGGGGGGTGCTTTGCTGTAATTCGGCTAGGAAAGCGTGCGGACCTGAAACTAAACCCCGTGCTAAGCTCGTGGCCACGCTGGGGCATTTTTAATCAACGGATGCGCTTTGTTGGCTTCGTCCTTTAAGTTCTTCCCTGCCGTCACCCATTCCCTGGCTCCCCGGGGAGGGGAAGGGGAAGGGGAAGGAAGGGGAAGGGGAAGCGCAGCCAGCTTGGAACTGAGCGGGGCCCAAGTTTGACAGGAGAAGCCGCGAAGGGGCAGCCCCCGCGGCTGTGTGGGGAGTGCGGAGGGGCTCCAGCTCAGACTTCCAGCTCGGGAGCCGGTGCCACGAACACGTGTTCACCATGTCTCAGTGCACCTCCCCAAATGGCAGTGAGATCACAGGTGGCAATGGCGAGCGACCTCTGACCCCCGTCTGGCTGTCCCGCATAGAAAGGCTGTCGTCTTGTCCCAGCCGGGCATGGTCCCTCTATTTCTTCCCCACCCCACCCCACCCCACCCCACCCCACCCCACGCTCTTCCTCCCAGAGCAACTGCCGGACTGGTCGCCCCTCCTGCAGCCAGTGGCCGTAGAAGCCGAGGGCTCTCCCACACGGGAGATGTTTGGGGCAAAGCAGGGCAGCCATCCG